GGCAGAAGGGTGCGTGTCCGCCCCCCCCCCCCCCCCCCTGCTGCCTCCTCCCCTCCTCCTTCGGGCCGAGCACCCCGGCTAACCTTCCACCCGCGCTCTCCCCCCCCACCCCTCACTCCTCACCCCCTGGCCTCCCTGTGTCTCGCTGCGCCGCCGCAGACTCACACTCAGCGAGATCCATCACCATGTCCACCGAGCGTTTCCTCTTCACCTCTGAGTCCGTCGGCGAGGGTCACCCCGGTGCGTCTTGCCCCGCCCCCCTTCTCCCCATGTGGCACCCCTGGGCCCCGTGCTGACACCCCTTCTGCCTCTTGTCCTCTCCGTTTCCCGCGCACGCGCTCGCCTCCCCCTCCGCCCACTCAGACAAGATCTGCGACCAGATCTCCGACGCCATTGTCGATGCTTGCCTGGCTGAGGACAAGTTCTCCAAGGTCGCTTGCGAGACCGCCGCCAAGACCGGTATGATCATGGTTCTCGGTGAGATCACCACCAAGGCCAAGCTCGACTACCAGCAGATCATCCGTGACACCATCAAGCGCATCGGTTACGACGACTCCTCCAAGGGTGCGTCCCGGGCTGTCTCCCCCTTCCCCCCCCCCCCCCCCTCCGGCCCCATGCGTCTCTGCCATGTGTTTGTCCTTTCCGCCTCCCTCCTCGCTCACCATGCTCTTTGCCCGCGTCCCCTTCTGCGCCCGCCCCTCCCCTCCCCTCCTCCGTCTTCATCCTTCTTAATATCGCGCGGACACGCGCCCCACAGGCTTCGACTACAAGACTTGCAACGTCCTCGTCGCCATCGAGCAGCAGTCTCCCGATATCGCCCAGGGTGTCCACGTCAACCGCTCCATCGAGGACACCGGTGCCGGTGACCAGGTACGCCCTTTTCCCTTTGCCCATACCTCTCCCCCTCGCCCTGGCTGCCCTTGTATTCCTCGTCTCTTCCCTCTCTTCGGGTTTTGCTCCGCTCTTTGACTGACACCCTGGTTGGACCTCCCCTCTCTGCTACGCCCTTCTGGCTGGCCTGCCTGCCTCGCGCGCTCCCCCCCCCCCGCTCGCCCTCCCAAAATAGGGTATCATGTTCGGCTACGCCACTGACGAGACCCCCGAGCTCATGCCCCTGACCATCGTCCTGGCCCACAAGCTCAACGCCAAGCTCGCTGAGTGCCGCCGTGATGGCTCTCTCGGCTGGCTCCGCCCCGACACCAAGACCCAGGTCACCATCGAGTATGAGCAGTCCGCCAACGGCACCCTCACCCCCCTGCGCATCCACAACGTCGTCATTTCCACCCAGCACGCCCCGGGCATCTCCCTGGACGAGCAGATCAAGCTCCTGAAGGAGAAGGTTTGCGATGTTGTCCTGCCCAAGGACCTCGTCAACGAGGACACCGTCTACCACCTGCAGCGCTCTGGCCAGTTCATCATCGGTGGCCCCCAGGGTGATGCCGGTGTCACTGGCCGCAAGATCATCGTCGACTCCTACGGTGGCTGGGGTGCCCACGGTGGTGGTGCCTTCTCCGGCAAGGACTGGACCAAGGTCGATCGCTCTGGCGCCTACGCCGCCCGCTGGGTCGCCAAGTCCCTGGTTGCCGCCGGCCTGGCCAAGCGCTGCCTGGTCCAGCTGTCCTACGTCATCGGTGTCGCCGCCCCCCTGTCCATCCACGTCGACACCTACGGCTCCGGCACCAAGCCCAACGCCGAGATCCTGGAGATCATCAACAAGAACTTCGACCTGCGCCCTGGCAAGATCGTCGCCGAGCTCGACCTCGCTCGCCCGATCTACTCCCCGACCGCGTGCTACGGCCACTTCGGCCGCGACGAGTTCCCCTGGGAGCAGGTCAAGAAGCTCGAGTTCTAAGTGTGCACTCGTGCCCCTCTCTCTCTCTCTCTCTTGTTGCGCCTCATTCTGCCCACCGCGGGGTCCCCCCTCCGCGCTGTGAGCGAGCGAGCGAGCGCGCGCGCGCGCGCGCCAATCACACACACAAAAACACGCACCTTTTCCTCCTCACGCGCCTCCTCCCCCTTTTCCTCTTGTTGACCGCTCGGCTGTGAGCAAGAAGACAGTGCTTCCATATCTTCTCCTGTCTGTTTGTGTGTGCTGTGTGCTGTGTGTCTAAGAGTGTGTGTGTGTGTGCGCGCGCGCGCTCGCGCAGAGCAGCCCACGTCGTGGTGGCATGTGGGGCACACATGTTTGGAGCTCCTGTCGTGTCAGGCCTTGTGAGAGCAGCGGGCGGTGACGCGGCCCCGGCGGTGGCGCGCGTGCGTGTCCTCCTCCCCCCTCCCCCTCTCGCCGCTTCGGCCGCCGTCTCCTCCCTCTCTCTCTCTCTCTCTCTTCCTCTCCTCCTTTCTCTCTATGGTTCTGTGTGGCTCCATCTCCCTCTCTTCCTCCCCCTGTCTCCTCCCTCCTCTTTCCTCCCTCTCTCCCTTTCCCGCATACGGATGTCGCGCGGTGGGGAGGAGGACGGACGTATGGGGGGCGGGGGGATTGATTTTTCCACCTCGCTTGCGTGCGTGTGTGGCCACATGTAATACGGTGCTTTTCGTCCCCGTACACACACACACACACACACACACACAGCAGCAGCAGCGCGCGCGCGCGCGCGCGTCCGTTCGCCCTTCCATATACCCCTCCTTGTGATATTTTCCCCTTTTTTTCGCCCGTGTTTTGGTCCTTGCTTTTACTGGCGTGTGCATGTGTGTTCTTGGGTCGAAAAACGTGTTCCTTCTTCCCCCGCGCCACCCCTGGGGCTGGGCGCATTGTCTCTGGCTGCATCTTGACACATGATGTGGTGCCGGGGGAGGATGGGAGGGAGCCAGGACAGAAAGGGACGGGGACGGGGTCAGCCTCCTGTTGGGTGCTTTCCCTGCCCCAGAGTCACTCCCGCCCTCCTGCGCCAACGCATGGCGATCCACCCGCGGTGCTGTCCTGTGGCGCGCCGCCATAAATGCGCCATCCATGTTATCCCACCCAGTCTGATGCGTGTGCCTCCTTGTCCAGGGGCGAGAAGAGCAAGCTGCAAGGGGGGGAAAGGGGGGGGGGGGGGAGGAAACAACACCTGGGGCGTATGCTTGGCCATGGATCTATATTGTTGGCCGGTGGCCAGAAGGCTGGGACATTTTGCGGCCATCCCTCCGCGATGTGGGGGCGCGGCGGAGGGTGCCAGGCGTTTTTTCTCTTTGCGCCTTCACGTGTACGAGTCGGCGCCCATCCTAGCCAGGCGTGGTGGCGCTTGTCGAGGGATATTGGCTGGCTACTTGGCAGTGCGATCGAACTCGGCCGGGGTCTTGGCGGTGATGGTCAGGGCATGGACAGTCCCACCCTGCTGCTCATTGAGCTCCTCGGCGAGGATGCCGTAAATCAACCGGTGGCGCTGGATGAGGGTCTGTGCGCGGGTGACGGCCGGATGGCCAAATGCAGGTGTAAGTGTGCATGGTTAAAATTCGGTGTCCGCGCGTGTTTGCGTGTTCGCAGTGAGGCCAGTGCAGGTTGGCTTCAGAGAGGGAAATGTCAAAACAAGCAGTCCAGGGGGCCGGGGCGTACCTTCCCAGCAAAGGCGTCTGACACGACGGTCACGCTGGTGTCGCACATTGTAGCCAAGGCGGAGTGGGGAAGGCAGTCAGTGGGGGCCGTAGGCGCCAAGACGGGGAGGGGAGCGCATCCACATATGGGGGTGCTTGGAAGAAGAGGGAGGGGCAGGGGGGGGGGGGGGGAGACGAAAAGCAAGTTGAAGGAAAGCCCACCAGTCAGGCAGGGGAAACATACTCAAAGTGCGTTTCGCGGTGGGGAGACCCACGCATGGCAGCGTGGCCAGCGTGCAGACGGGAATCGTCGCGGACCACAAGGAAGGAGGGAGCCAAAGCGGAGACGAGCTGCTCGGCCGATGGAAAGAGCGAGGGGGAGGGGGGGGGGAGAGTTAGAGCAGGGAACATGGAGGCCCAAGGCGTCAGCCAGGAGATTGAAACGCACCTTCTGATTGATGGCGGTGTAGACAGGCTGAGCACCCTGGGGCAGGGCAACGGAGGACATGGTGGCGCGGGCGAATCTCGACGTCACTGGCAGGACGGAGCGGAACATAATCTCAGGCAACTCGAGTGCGGGAAAAGGGGGAGGCGTGCAGGGGCGAAAGGGGAGGAGCACGCGGGGAGAGGGGGAGGGAGGGGAGGGGGGGGGGGAGGTGGTTGGCGAGGGTGTTTCCCACCCCGATGCCCGGGTGACCGAGAGATCGGCGCCTTTTCACCCCTTGCCGGGCAGGGGTCTGTGGTGCCCAGTAGGGCCGGAGTGCGCCCGGGCGCCGCGGAGGGGAGGCGATCTGCGCGGGGGCGAAGCATGGGGCTCGTACGCCTGACGATCGTGGTGATGCCCGGTCTGCGCCCCGCTCGCCCTGGGGGCCCGCGAACTTCGGAGGACGTGGACAATCGGACGACGAAGGCTGTGCCTAGGACACTTGTTTTTTATTTATTCATTATCACGACCCCGCCTCCAACGCTCGGCCCAGGGTCCGGACCATTGGTCGTTGTTCTTGAATGCCCGCGAATTTGGAGGAAAAAAAAAATAATCGGCCCTTGAAGACACAATGGCCGGCAGGAGAAGGCCATGCCACATTGGTGGTTCTCCGCCGGCCTCCTCCCTCTGAGATTGCCCCGCCCGTTGCCCTTTTTGCGCCCGCCGCTCACTCCGCGGTCCTTCCCGTTGGATGAGGTGCATGCCTTCACAGAAGGATACCACCGGGTGCCGGTTCTTCTATCGGTGTTTATTATACGGAGTGCCTGTCTTTGCCCCCCCCCCCCCCTCCCCCCTGGCTGATGCTGTTGCTTGTGCTTCTCTGCTGCCGCCCTGCACCTGCCTTTCCCGCAGAAAGGATGGCCACAGGGGGGGCAGCACCACCCGGTGCCATTCTGTGTATGATGGGACTTTGGAGGAGGCAATCTAGAGGACCCCGCCAGGCTACATGGGATACGGGACGGGGGGGAAAGGCACCAGGAGAGGCAGCAGGCAGGGTCCCATGCGCGCGCGCGCGTGCGGTGCACGGAGAGCCCTCACTCGGAGTCGAAGTCCGAGAAGTCATCCTGCTTGATGCTGTAGATGGAGTAGCCATCTGCGTTGGGTGGGGCCGCAAGGTTTCGGGAAGAGGAAGGCATGAGCTCGAGACTGCAACGTGGCGAGATCCCAATGTGGGGTGGTTACCCCGAGGGAGGGAGGGAGAGAGAGAGAGAGAGAGAGAGAGAAGGCGAGGGGGGCAGGGATTGGGCGGAGAAAAAGGCAAGCAAGCAAAGACCAACACGTACAGACAGCCACAACGCCAAGGCCGAGGGCAGCACCGAGGATGGTGTTGCGCATGAGGAACGGCCGGCGCGCGGCCACCATCTCCGGGGACATGCTGTAGCCACGGGCACGGGCGGAGCTCTTCATCTCCTTGAGGACCTCGGACTGGAGGGCCTCCTCCGAGCCGGGCCCCATGTAGGCATAGCGCCCGGGCCGCGGGGCGGCCCCCTCGGCAGGGGCACCGGCAGCGGCGCCAGCATTGGCACCGGCGGCGGCCTCCGCCGAGGCGGCGCCCAGCCGGGCGTTCACCGTGCGCCGGGCCTCCTCCATGCGGTAGTCATACATGCCGGGGCTGCCGTCAGCGGCGGACAGCGGGTGCGCCATCTTGTCCAAGGGAGTCGAGGTGGGGGGGAGCGGCACCGAGCCGGACTTGAACTGCGAGCGGATGGCATTGTTGCCGGCCGTCGGGCCGGGAGGGGTGGCGGGGGCGGACGCCGCCGGCGAAGAGAGGCGGAAGGCGAAGAGGGACATGTCGCAGTGCGGGTATCTATCAGGAGGGCCTGGCAGGGGGGGGGGGGGGGGGG